TAAGATAACTTGGTCAAAACTGATGATGGGGGTACAGCCAGGACTTCAAACTCATCTGACTAATTTTAGAGTTAATGCCTTTAATCTTGTAAATATCACAAGGGGGGAGGGTGACAGACCAGATTACATAAAATTGCCTGAATTGTAGGGTATTTTACTTATTTATTTTAAATATATTTTTATCGATTTCAGAGAGGAAGGGAGACGAAGAGAGATAGAAACATCTATCTCTGATGAGAGAGAATCATTGACCAGCCACCTCCTGCACATCCTACACTGGGGATTGAACCTACAACCCAAGCATGTGCCCTGACTGGGACTCGAACCGTGACCTCCTAGTTGATGCTCAACCACTGAGCCATGAAAGCCAGGCTGTAGAGTATTTTAAAGGAAATGTAGGTGTTTAGTTTTGAGAGTATTTTAAACTGGCACATACATGGCTACTTCAAAGTAAGTTGTAGAAGTTAGTTTTTTATAAAAGAATGCAACTCACTATAACCTACCAGAACAGTAAATAAAAATTTTAAGAAGTGTTAAATTTCAAATGTTAAAGATACTTTAACAGAATTCTTAACTTCCTTTGTACTACTTTTAGTTACTGTTTTTCTAAACTGAATTTCTTGCTAATAAAGTAATGTTCTGAGAATTAACTGTAACATTTAAAAATTATAAGCCAGCGGTTCTCAACCTGTGGGTTGCAATCCCTTTGGGGGTCGAACGACCTTTCACAGGGGTCGCCTAAGACCAATGGAAAACACATATATAATTACATATTGTTTTTGTGATTAATCACTATGCTTTAATTATGTTCAATTTGTAACAATGAAAATACATCCTGCATATCAGATATTTACATTACGATTCATAACAGTAGCAAAATTACAGTTATGAAGTAGCAACGAAAATAATTTTATGGTTGGGGGTCACCACAACATGAGGAACTATATTAAAGGGTCACGGCATTAGGAAGGTTGAGAACCACTGTTGTAAGCAATGAAGAAACCTGCATTTAAAATTTCCAAATAAATATAATACTACTAGAGGCCCAGTGCATGAAAATTCATGCACTGGAGGGGCAGTCCCTCAGCCTGGCTGCCCCCTCTCACAGTCCAGGAGCCCTCAGGGGCGGGAGGCGACCTGGTGATCAGGGGAAGGTGATGCCCCATCACACCTCTGCTACTGCCACTGCTGGCAGCGCAAGCCTTGGCCGGCCCTGGTTACCTGTGCCTCGGGCAGGCCCTGGGCGGCTGGGGAGCTGAGGGGACGGGGCGCCGTCATCTTGTGGCTGTGGGTGCCATCATCTTTGAGGGCGAGGCAGTCAATTAGCATATTCCCTCCTTATTGGCTGTGGGCACCGCCATCTTTGAGGGTGGGGGCAGTCAATTAGCATATTCCCTCCTTATTGGCTGTGGGCACCACCATCTTTGCGACAGCGTGAGGTTCAATTAGCATATTCCCTCTTTATTAGATAGGATGCTATATAGATACGAAATAGTGTTTTTGTTACACAGGAAAATTCTTGTGATAATGTTAAGTGAAAAAAGCAGGATACAATGTTAAATATACAAAGAGATCACATTATCCTAAAAATTACACAAAAGTAAGAATAAAATATATAAAAATGTTAGTGATTGTTACTAGGTGATAAGATTATGGCTATTTTAATGTTATTCTTTATAGTTTTACATATTTTCTGCAATGAACATGGGTTACATTCACATTCAGAAAAAGTAAACATTAAACAAATTGGAAAAAGAAAGACCAAAAATATTACAAGTAGAAACTGGTGAGTTTTTATGACTGCAACAACTATTTGCTACTACTCATATCTCCATCTACAAAGACATAAAAACACATGAGGATGGCTTTGTGTTTTAACGTGTGTGTGTGTGCGTGTGTGCGCGCGCGCGCCCGCAGAGCTGACCAGCCTTCGCAGAAGCTCAGCTGAGATTCCTGAGCAGTGGACTGAGGTACCAGGTCACCTGCTTCTAACCCCTACTGGTCTCCAGGGAGCAGCTGGGAACTGGCAGGGAGCCTGCTTCCTGGGCTGCCGCACACATCGCTAGCCCTCCCCCTCTTAGCTGGGCTGGCTCCTTGCCTGACCAGCAAACGTCTGAGGAAAACCACAGGGCCATTTGTGACCAAGACTGGTTCTCACTGAACCTGGTAAGTTCTCAGGAACACTGCACTCTACACAGGAAAACAATGTGAAGGCAGGATCCAGCTCCCTCCTCCTCCCAACCCTGCCCATGTTTGTTTCAGCTGGGTAAAAGTAACTCTGATCAACATCCTTACAAGAACTACTTACCACTTACGTCTAGTTAGCACAATCATGATTATGCATATCATTAAATATGAGCCAGATCAGTTGTGTTGTTCATTGTATTTGATTACCACAGCAATCTAGACTGTCATCAGGGTACATTCAGCTTCCATGGCTATTTCAAGGTCATTCACTTTACAGTTTAAAAATAACTGTAGGGAAATAATCTTAGGAAACATGGCCTATTTCTAAAGCCGAATGGCAGTGTTTGATGATGATGATGATGATGATGATAATAGCAGCTACATTTATCCAGGGTTTACCAGGGGAAACCTAATTATTTCTTTCTCACTACAGTCCTGTGAAGATTCACTTTCCGGCTTTCATAACAGAAGGCACTGTGTTTGCATGTGTACTAGTATGTATAACAGAGTTAACAGAGAATCTAAACTGAGTTAGCAAAGGATTTTCAGACAGTGGAAGACAGAAATGGCGAGACGGAGACTGTCACGTAAGAGGAGGTTATATAAAGCAGGTCACAGTGAGTAAAGAGGAAGATGAACAAAACCTTCAAGTAATCAATGACTGGATGAAGACATAAATTCAACATAAACAGACAACTTGGTATCTTAATAAGATAAACAAAGTAGTTCATACGCATTCACTCTGTATGACACCCATTCAGCAAATTTATAATTATGTGGAATTGTTTCTATGTCTGGTAACACAATCAACTTTTCCCACTCCTTATTTTATGATTCTAAGTGTAAAAAACTATTTTCTAAGAATGTAAGACCTTAATAGTAAATAGGCAATGCTGTTTGCTTAGTTTTAAAATTCCCTGCTACTCACAATAAAAAATAATCAAAAAGAATATCGTTGAAGGGATCATTTTGTAAGTTATGTAAATGTCTAACCACTATGCAACCACCTGAAACTATGTTTAATGTCAACTGTAATTGAATAATAAGAATAAAGGTATATTTTAAAAACAACAACCCAGTAGTTATATCCTATAATGAAGAAGATAATAGAACTGTTGTTAACATGAGATATTTGGAGTTCAATATCCTATCAGTCTGTCCCAAGTATATAAGACATTATAGTATGATGACAGATTTTCAGTAGAGAAACTCCAGGAATCAGTTAGGCTGAAGTTCAAATTCTAGTTCCAGCCCTTATTGACAATGTGAGCAAAGATTAGAAACATAACCAGTGTAAACCTCAGTTTTCCCATCCTTAAAGTGGGGGTAGTAATTCCTGCCTCATGGAGTAGAGGAGAATTAAATGATATAATATGTGCAATGAGATTCTTAGCATAATGCCAGGAATTTACGCAATAATTATTTGTTATTATAATTGCATGCTAAATGGTATATTTATTTATAGATCTCAGTCATTCAAAACAAAAGTATTAAAATCAAATAAGTAAATGCAAAATGTCTCAAAGGTTCTGAAAGAGAAGCATGGCTTGATTTTTAGCCTTTAAGAATGTCTTACTTACCCATAAATACAAGAGATGTCAATCACCACATCAATCATATCACAGCAGAGCTCATAGGTTTGCATATCTACTGGGGTGCTATCAGTTGCAATATAAATTTTACTGACCACATCAAATAGAAATGCCTTTTCAATTCCAGAATTCTGAAACAAAAAGAAGATGCTGACTTAAAGCAACAGCTGATTTCAAACCAGGTCATGGTTCTATAAAACTATATGCCATCCTCTATGTGAAAAATAAACAAGCAAAAATTAAGTTACTATAATTTTAGGTTGTTCCATGTTATTACAATTTAAACCTCATTGTCATATACTTCTTTATAATGGACTTGCATAGAAAATGAAAAGTGGAATTAATTATCCAAATTATTTTCTGTAGGCAAACAAACTGAGTGGTAGCCAAGTAAAAACACTAATTATATTGATTTTAAATTTAAAAGTAAATTTAAGAAATCTAAACAAGCAAATTCCAAACTGTGCGGTGAGAATTCATGTGCGTACAACCAACAGGTCTGCCTTAATGCTACTCCGCAGAGCTGGTGGTTTATAGGACTCATTCAGTGTTAACAGTTTATATCTTATCGCCAAACCAACTTTTATATCCTCTACCTCTGGTAAGGCTCTATTAACATTGAATGATTGCCTACAATTTGAATAAACACTCCAATTCTATCAGTAAAGTACAGGCATCCATTTTGGGAGTTAAAATTTAAAGGGCCTAAAATAATCTCTGGATCAACCTCCAAAAGTACATACTTTGTGACCTTGAAATGCTGCTGTAAAAGTAAGCAGAAATAAGATCGTTTTCATTCTTGCAATCTTATTCTTAAATTCTGCAAATGACGCTCACAGGATGATATTATTTACTTACAGAGATAAAGATGTTTAGCAAGTTCTCCAGGGTGGGGAGTTGTGGAATTAGTTTCTGAACCACTTTGCTAAAAGCTTCAAATATTGAATGATCATATATGCTTGTCAGATAAAAGCTGAAAGAGGAAACAATATTTCATCACATTTTCCCCTTGACTGGGGAATAGACTGCTTAGGCTGTCATAACACCAGTACTTGCCTTCTGTATCTACACTCCTTACACACACATTCAGAATTTGAAACAGCCTTGGTAAAAACTGAACATGTCTTAACGGGCCATTTCCTCCCACCACCCAAAAAACAAGAACTGTGTCCATTCTCATCTGCTGACTGGCTGGAGTGGAAAGCTTAAAAACACAATGTAGTGCTCACTTCGGCGGCACATACACTAAAATTGGAAAGATACAGAGAAGATTAGCATGCCCTTGCGCAAGGATGACATGCAAATTTGTGAAGCTTTCCATATTAAAAAAAAATGCACTGTCTGTGTCCATACCAGCTTCCTTATATTCTGCAAGAGAATGCACACCAGGTCATCTATACACACACCTCATGGGCTAGTAACAGTGACATTATTATATTGAAGTACCGACGTTTTTCACTTTCCAATTTGTGAAATCAATGATACATGGAGCACCCCACAAAAAATGAAGTGGTTTTCCTGAGTATTTCTATTTGAATTATCTTCAGAGTTAGATACTATCATATTTATCAAGAACTGTAAACTTCAGCTTCAATTAACCTCCTGGATTATGTCCATGGGTTTTACCAGGTATGTTATGTGTTTCTCAAATAGGGGAGGAACCTTAGCTTTGACCACTTATTAAAAAAAGAAATTATTATTTTTAAACCCCACTGCTTTTCCCAAAGATTAGAATTAGCACATGGAAAGCTTGTTTTACCCAAATACCATCCCAACGTCCACAGTACGAAATAGGGTGAACCACTTGTGGTGACTTTGGACCCCAAATCTGCTTTTTCCGTCCATGACAGTGATCCCTGAGGGGCTTCTGTTCTCACCTGAGGTGAATTTTTTCTAATCCAGCGTCTGCGAGGTCATCGTTTGCCCGCTGATGAATATCTCTTTGGGTTTCAATTTTGTGGTCATCGGACAGACCGTCCACTTTGTGAATAAACACCTCGAAGTTGATGTCAGTGTTCACTTTGTAGGCCCTGGTCACTGTGAGGTGCAGCCGGGCCAGGGCTTCCATGTAATCGTCCTGGGAACACAGACACAGTCCTGTCAGGGGAGGCGGCTTTGCTTTCTAAACCCTGCTCAGGTGCCTTTCACATAACTCCCCAGCTTTATTGAGGGATGCTTGACAAATAGACATTACATATATTTAAAGTGTTGCTGAAACCGGTTTGGCTCAGTGGATAGAGCGTTGGCCTGTGGACTGAAAGGTCCCAGGTTCGATTCTGGTCAAGGGCATGTACCTGGGTTGCGGGCACATCCCCAGTAGGAGATGTGCAGGAGGCAGCTGATCGATGTTTCTCTCTCATCGATGTTTCTAACTCTCTATCTCTCTCGCTTCCTCTCTGTAAAAAAATCAATAAAATATATATTTTTTTAAAAAGTGTACAATAGGACGCCCTGGCCGGGTAGCTCAGTTGGATAGAGCAGAGTCCCCATAAGGCAACCTTGAGGATTCGATCTCCAATCAGGGCACATACAAGAAGCAACCAATGAACGCATAAAAAAGTGGAACAAAAGTTATGTTTCTCTCTCTCCCCTCCTCAAAAAAATCAATAAATAAAAAAATAAAGTGTGCAATGGGATGTTTTGATAAAAGGCACATGTTGTGAAATGATACCCTCACTCAAGCTAACCTTTCCAGCACCTTGCCTCACAGTGAACCATGTTTTTCCTTCCCATATTCTTTCTTTCTTTTTAATATATTTCTTTATTGATTTCAGAGAGGAAGAGAGAAGAAGAGAGAGATAGAAACATCAATGATGAGAGTGAATCATTGATCGGCTGCCTCCTGCACGCCCCCTACTGGGGATTGAGCCCACAACCCAGCACACTCCCTACTGGGGATCGACCCGCAACCCAGGCATGTGCCCTTGGCCGGAATCGGACCTGGGACCCTTCAGTCCGCAGGCCGACGCGCTATCTACTGAGCCAAGCAGTTAGGGCTCCACATTCTTTCTTAATTTGGAAACCATCTGGGTACAACGTCCGAAAATATTTTGCAAAAGCCCAATAAAAAGCTGGTTTTATAGAATTCAAGATTGAAAATGTAAGTTTTGTTAACAAAGAGATGAAAAAGAAAGGCCAGAAAAACCCAGCTGTAGGCTCTTATGGCTAGCTTGGTGACAGTCATAAAGATCAGAGCTGCAGTTCTGTGAATCGAAAATTCACAAAGGTCACCTAGGACCTCCTTTGGAATACAATTCCTTCCAGATTTTTGAATCTCTTGGTCAACTGTGATGAACAGTTAGAGATGAAAATATGATATGGGTCACTGGGGAAGGAGCCAGGAGGAAAAACTTTTAAGAACCCCTGGTCTAGAGCAGCCAAATTGGGCCCATGCCTGATGTTGTTTGTAAGTCAAGTTTTATTGGAGCACAGCCACACTCATCTGTTTACATAGCATCAAGGGCTGCTTTCATGCTACAATGGCAGCTGAGTAGTTTTCCTCTGTGGAAATGGTATAGCCTGCAAAGCCTGAAATATTTACCATCTGGCCCTTCACAGAATATGATTGCTGATCCATGTCTATAATCATTGCCCCAAGTAAAACAATACTATTTTCCTCCTTCCTACAGATGATACCTATATAATAATATAATAAACACCTATATACTATGTATCTCTTTGCTTAAGAAATCAAACATTAGCCCTGGTCGGTGTGGCTCAGTTGGTTGAGTGTTGTTCCATGCACCAAAAGGTTGCTGGTTCAATTCCTGATCAGGGCACATGCCTGGGTTGTGGGTTCGTTTGCAGGAGGCAGCTTATCAATGTTTCTCTCTTACACAGCGATTTTCTCTCTCTCTCTCTCTTCCCACGCCCCTCTTCCTTTTTCTAAAATCAATAAAAATATTTTTTTAAAAGAAATCAAACATTAGATACTGCAGCCCTGTGTGTTTCTCTCCTTCCTCCCTTCTATTCCATCATTCTACCCCCTACCCTCCAGAGGTAGCACTACCCCAAGTTTAGTGTCTATTCTCACTCATCTCTTGATACATTACTACATACATATCTATCTTTAAACAATATACAGAATTCATTTTCGTTGTTCTAAATTTTATAAAAATATCGTTACATGTATATTATAGTTTGCCTTTTTCACCCAACATTATGTCAGTGAGATTCACCTACATTGAAGTGTATAACTCTTTTTAAAAATATTTTTTTTATTGATTTCAGAGAGGAGGGGAGAGGGAGAGAGAGATAGAAATATCAATGATGAGAAAGAATTATCAATTGGCTGCCTACAGCACACCCCCCACTGGGATCAAGCCCACAGCTATGACATGTGCCCTGACTAGGAATCAAACTGTGACCTTCTGGTTCATAGGCTGATGCTCAACCACTGAGCCATGCCGGCCAGGCCATAACTACTTCTAACAGCTCTATAAAGTTTCATTGTATGGATGGTCTATAATTTATCATTGTTGATAACTGTTGATGGACATTTAGAATGTTTCCAGACAGTAATAATGTGGACAGTCTCATACATGCATCTTTGTGTCTGTTTGTGAGTTCGGGGGAGCTTACCCTGAAGGCCAACCTGTTGGGTCCTAGGAAGGAGCACCTTGAATTTGACTAGATAACGTGTAAGAGCACTGGATGCTCCAGTCCCTCACCAACACTCAGTATTGTCAGATCTCTTAATTATTGCCAACTTGAAGGTATGAGCAGGTCTTATTGTTACAGCAAAGAGAGGAAAGGGATCTGCAGGACAGAATTCAAAGGACTTTTCACCCCTATTCTGACTCCAAACTTGGACCAATACAGGAAGCCAATAAAACAGGGGATGTTCTGGCATTCTAAGTAAATCAAAATATTAAAGATAATAATGAGAAACTGTGAAGAGAGACAAACAGCAAGTGGACTCTTCTCATCCTCACACTCTAAAGAGTCATTTAAAATGAAAGTTGGAATTTGGGGCACTGGGCTAGCAGATTAAGCATTTTGGAAAAATTTTAGATGAATAATTTGTAGCACTTTTTTAAGACCTTAAAGTATCTCAAATAAAAACTAAAGTTATTACTGTATAATTCCACATATGTGAAATTCTAGAAAAGGCAAACTAGTCTATAGTGACAGAGAGCACATCAGCAGTCCTGGAGCTGGGGTTCGGGGGACTGGCTGAGGAAGGACACGAAGGAACCCTTTGGGGTGGTAGAAATATTCTACATCTTGATTGTGAGCTAGTCACAGAATGTAGACATTGACCAAACTCACTGAACTGTTCACCTAAAGCGAGGGTGTTTTATTATATGTCTATTCACCTCAAAAAAAGTGTTACTGCTTATGTCTATAACATAAGGAAGAGGGGAGTTAAAGGGACAGGCCTGTGAGCACAACTAGCCAATGTCAAGAGAGCATTACAGTCGCAAAGGATTAGAAATTGCTACTCCTGCCGAAACCGGTTTGGCTCAGTGGATAGAGCGTCGGCCTGTGGACTGAAAGGTCCCGGGTTCGATTCCGGTCAAGGGCATGTACCTGGGTTGCGGGCACATCCCCAGTGGGAGATGTGCAGGAGGCAGCTGGTCGATGTTTCTCTCTCATCGATGTTTCTAACTCTCTATCTCTCTCCCTTCCTCTCTGTAAAAAATCAATAAAATATATTAAAAAAAAAAAAAAGAAATTGCTACTCTAACCTCCCTGCCAAGTATATAAAATGGACTGATTACCAACTAACTGATGTGGTAGTATGTAGCTACAAGAATTACAAATGACATTAAAAAGAAGAATATACTTGGTTTATTAGAGCAGAGGGATTGTGGATGATTTTTCCTACTGTGTCTGTTATCCTCTTCTACGACAAAAGTAAAAACTATAATGCCTAGTGTCGATCCAAATTTAAATCTAGGAATTACAGATGTGTGTGTCCGCACAGGTGGAATGGCTGCAGGGGGCCGAAGCGGGGCCTGGAGATGTGATACATCTGTGGGCTCTGCGGGGGTTTGGGGGGTCATACATCTAGGTCGAGGGAAAGAGCTCTCAATGCTTTCATTCTCTTTTATTTTACAACCTTCTGTGAGGACACATTTTCTCCTTGGTGATATAATTATCTGGCAATCCTCTGACTGTGAGGAATTCACAAGCAAAAAATAAAAATATGAGGTGTCCCACCCACAGAGCACTGCTCAGAAATAAAGAAAATGATTGGAGTGCTGCTGAGGTACTTCCCTAACGTGTGCTCCTCTTTCAGTCTTGTAATCACATCCTGCAAAGATTCCCACAAATACAATTTTCACAGCCTGCTTCCAGCAGAAACGTGTATTAGACTCTGAA